ATATAGCAAAAGGGAGAGAGAGAATGGGAAAGAGAGATTGAGGGAGAATGGGAGAGGGAGACAGTGTGGGGAGAGAGAAAGAGAGGGAGTATTGTACAGAGAGAATCGAATATGGAGAGAATGGACGAGAGCAGGATGGGAGAGGGAGAACGAGGGTGAATTAGAGAGGGAGAGAGTGGGAAACGGAGAGGAGAGAAGGGGGGGGGGAATGAGGGCGAATGAAATAGGGAGAGAATGAAATAGGAAGAGAATGAAATAGGAAGAGAATGAAATAGGAAGAGAATGAAAGCGGGAATGGGAGTGAGTATTGCACAGAGAGAATGGGAGATGGAGAGAATCAAGCAGCGAATAGGAGAGGGAGGATGGGAGAAGGATAATACAGGCAAATCAGAGAGGGAGAGAATACGTGGGAGAGAAAAAAAGAGAGGCAATGTTGCACGGAGAGAATGGCAGATGGGAGAGAATGGGAAAGGGAGGATGAGAGAGGGAGAATGACGGCGAATGGGAGAGGGAGAGAATGGAAGGAAGAGAGTAGGATAGAGAGAGAATAGGAGAGAGAGAATCGGACCGAGAATAGGGGGGAGAGAGAATGAGAGAAAGAGAATGGTAGAGGGAGAGAATGGAAGAAAGAGAATAGGAGAGAGAAACTGGGATAGAGAATGGGACAGAAAAGGACAGAGAATGGGGGGGAGGGACAATGGAACAGAGAATGGGAGAGGAAATGGGAGAGAGAGAATGGGAGAGAGAGTGTGGGAGAGAGAAAATGGGAGAGAGAAAACGGGAGAGGGAGGCTAGGAGTTCTACATGACCTGATGGGCGCACACAAGCCAACCAACATGCAGCACAATAAAGTTAAATCAACCAATTAAAAAAAAAGACAAAAAGAGCAGAGTCAGATGGCAGAAAAAATGAGCGTTTTCTAGATTTTTGTGCGTATCATCCTTGCACAGGGGATATGCTAATAATGATTCCCCGTATCGTCCCAATTTAATTCTACTCTTTTCCTCATAATAAAATGTATCGTTCCAAATTTTAACGGATGTCCCGAGGGACCACAAAAAAAAAAGAAAAAAAAAAAGAAAAAAAAAGAAAAAAAGAAACTTTCCAAAGGCTCAAGGCCTAAAGCACGATAAACGTTAATAATAAGTTAATAGCCAATCAAGCACATAAAAAATGCAAATTTCGTCTTCTTCTTTTTTACGTGTTCAGCTATCTGGCTGTTAGCCAAGCTGTACAAAACCTAGAAATTGTCGAATGAATCTTGCTCATAGGTGAAGCTAAATTCAGTCAAGAGAAATTGTATCACTTGAGGTATGCTCATACATACGGTAGGGAACTTTGTCCAATGAATCTTGCTCATAGGTGAAGCCAAATTCAGTCACCAAAAGTGCTAGCGTGAGCGTATGCCTTTTCTATCATCTGTACCTGGACCTATGTGGCGTTGGAGTTACATCGCTACTCTTCTTGGTTATAATAAGACCCTAAACCCTTATCGCGAACCAAGTAAGGCCACCGGCTTTTTTTTTTTTTTCAAAAAAAGAAAACTCTGTTGCTTTCCATAACCCAAAACCATTGATTCTCACTCCAACTGACAAAGTCAGTAGTTCAACCTTTTTTTTTTTTTTTTTTTTTTTTTTTGGCGACCACCGAGATCTACACTCTTTCCCTACACGACGCTCTTCCGATCTACCACCTACATACCAAAGACGAGCGCCTTTACGCTTGCCTCTGCCAATCCTCAGAAGCGATGATATGAT